CAATGTCAAATTATAGTTCATTCGATGCGTCTCGTCGAGTGGAACACGATTCTGGCAATAGAAATGTCCTAGCTGGTTTTAGTCAAAAGTTATTGTCGAAAAACACATTTCGTAAAAACAGCTATTTTGGGAGTTTTTGCCCTCTAGAGGCTGAACCGTTGACCTGAGGTCAATTTTGATGATGACCTTATCAAAAGGGGAGTTCAAAAACTATCGATTGCTTTTTTATGCGTTTTTCTAGCTATCATAGTTCCTGAGATAAATGCATGTTTTCTGAGAAATATAATGACATTTGGCAAATTTTGACCTTTGATGACCTCCAGTGACCCCAATATTGCGCTAAGATGAAAATGACCTCAATACTTTCAAACGTATGCATTGAGAGCTATCGACTGCTTTTTACCGCATCTTTCTAGCCCTCTTAGTTTTTGAGTTAGAGGTGGGTGGTGACATATGCCCCCCCCCCCCCCCACTAGGGCGAAGTTGGCTGAGACCGCCACTGGGGCGCGGGCTAACTTGGAGCACTGCACTGCATCAATTCACACTTCATAGGCTACCAAGTGCGTAAACAAGTCAACTTATGATCCCTCGGTACAATGACATGCTACGAGCTCGTGGGTAAAACAGTGTCTTCCCATTACTTTGCTCAACTATTTTAGCTCAACTATTTGGTTTGAATAAAAACTCCTTTTTAATCAAAAGTCGTCTACAGATGATTTTAGAAGCGATTATCTACTAACATAGATGAGCTCAATTTTATTCACTGCACTTTCTTCCCATATTATTGGCAGTGGCTCCCGGAGGCATTGGCCACTCACGTCATCAGCGATGAAAGGGTGTTTTAATGGATGTTGAAAGACGATGGCTGTCCTCAGGCACTGTATTGATTTGAAGGAAAAAAGAGAGAATTTATTAATGTTTGCATAATGCTTAATGCGTTCAGAAAAGGAGGATAACAGGTGAAATCAACTTTAAAGGACGGAGAGATTGCAATAGAAATTTGGTTAGATTGCCAATTTGCATACCTTTGAAGGATACAATTATTTTTTTGTCCTCGTGCCTTGTGAGGGACCTCAGTACTTTGCCTTGACGTACGTAAATGACTTCTTTCGTATGTTTGTTGTGGTTTTTCAAACCGTGCCTTACACTTCTCACTAAATTAACCCGCGCCCGGCTGGGGGTCCTGGATTTCCACGCCCTGCTGGGGGGTGTTTGAACACCCCCCCCCCTTCTAACTCGGCTCCTGGGCCACGTAGCGATACGCGGAAAGCGGCGTTCGAAAGAGCGTCAAAAATAATGAGGAAATCACTTCGGTCAATTTTTTGGTCAGGTCAAAGGTCAGGTCACCAGCGGTCATTGAAGGCAAAATTTCGCCGATTTCCAGGTCGAATGTCGAAAATTTCCAAGAAGCCAACGCATAACTCGGGAACCAATAGAGCTACAGCGCCGCGGAAATGGGCATTCGATAGCCCTATTAACACCCTTTCTGAGTAATTCTCTCAGATTTGACCTAACGTTAACGGTTTTGCCTGCAGGGGGCAAAAACTGCAAAAATAGCCGATTTTTTCTAAAACAGTTTTTCTGCAATAACTTTTGACCCAAGCCTTGTACGAGCTTACTTTTACCGGCATCGTGTTTCTCTCGTCAAGACGCATCGAATTAACTATAACTTGACCTTGAAAGGTCAACTTGAAAATTTGACCTCAGGTCAAGGTCATGACCTGACCGGAAAGGGTCATGTTGCATATCAGTCGATCCGTATCGTCGAGCTGAACACATCTAAGGCGTTTTCATCGCTCTAGCATGGCTCTATCAAAAGTTATTTGCGAAAAACTGTTAGATAACATTCGTGACCTTAGATGACCTCAGGGCATAAACAGGGGTCACGGACACCATTTTCATGTTCAGCGTGTCTAAACCACTTGTAATTCAGTGTTTGGGAGTGTTTATAATGTCTTTGGTCCAAAATAGGCGCATTTCAATTTTCTCCCATTGACTTATAATGGGGAGGTCGCAAAATTGACCTGACCTTAGGTCATCGATATCAAAATTCTGAGATATAAGTTTTGTACATGCTATTGCTCTTAGCAATCACTGAAAGTTTCAAAGCGATCGGTCACTCGGTGTAGCTATGACAGACATTGAACCTTTTTATGAGGTGAGGTCACTTCAAGTGACCTGGTGACCTGACCTTGAATGAACTTGGTCTGAAATTTTCACAACATGTGTAGAATTGATGTATGATAAGGTGTACCAAATATCATATATATCATATATTCAATATCAACAAGGTGCATTATCAGTATCACATTCGACCATCGACGTTGGTTTGAAGCACTGGAAGAAGAAATGTGCAGCTTTTTATCGAAAGAAATAACAGAAAAATTGTAAGCAGCAGTATATGTATATTTGTTAATGAATTTTCTTTTGTACTGCGCAGTTCGTTGAGTTTACTGTGACATGTGTTCATAGAAGTCAAAAAGGTTATAATTTGAATGACTGAGCCCAGCAATTCCTGGCGGATGCCTGTGTGCAGAGGTGCACAAACCTTCCTACTTGCCTACTTTGTGCACCTCTGCCTGTGTGGCTCTTTGTGTTCTTCTTTGTCACATCAGCGCCGGGTTCTTTCACACCGACCATGTGTTTTGTCTTGTTGGCGTGCACGTTCTGTCAAACTACCATCACGGTCTAACACCTCTGGTGTCATGATATGTCAACTGACGTCGTGTTTTCTCGTGTTGGCGTCATTGTAAGTAACGCCCAGTCGATATCCCAGCATTCATGTTCGACTGAACGGAGCTGTGCACACACCGGACTTTGAGCAATGACCGTACGGAAACAACGGGAAAAGTCGAGTTTTTTCCAGTACTTGGCTCGTGAACCGCGATGGAATTTAAGCTAGAACTGGATTTAATGTTTCCAGGTGTTTCCAAGCCATTGTTTTACACGGTCGGCGGACCAGACGGCGCAGCGTTCAGAAAATTATCTACCGAAACAGGCACGCAGCCAGCGCTGAAAATAGACGCTGGACATCCGAGACTGGCTACCACTTTTGAAGGTGCGAGGCATAAGGAAATTGTCACAGAGTTAATTTAACACTGCAAACAGGATAGTTGTGCCGGGTGAGTACCTAGTTTTGGATAAATTCGCATGTGTCTGTATCTACCTATTGCGCCGATATTTATTCACCGAAAACCCAGCAATCCGCATCATTTGTCAGCAGCGCTAGCAGTTAGTTTCGTTTGAACATGTTCATATCTAACCCTAAACCATACCTGTCCCCCGCTCCCCGCTGCACTGCGGCTGCGCAGATCCGTCATCCACAGGTCCGCTGGTGGCTGAGCGCTGCACCGAGCCCCTCCATGCCTGCACGCGCCTGCTCGCTGTGTGGGCACGCACCTCTGACTCCGTGACTCTGCGCCGCGTGCCGGGTCGGCAGAGCCATGGCGGCAGCGAGGCGAGAGGAATGGTGAATGGTGGATACCGAATATAGCGGCCAGGGGACGAACACCCTCATAGCTCACTGGTAGTCACTGCAGCCATCGGAGCGGGGAGCGACTGATAAACGGAAATTATAGTTTTTTTTTGGGGGGGGGGGGGGACATTCCAGTTGCTATGCCGATGTCGCTTATTGGATACAGAAAACAGATGTCGTATCGTTTGAATGAATAAGAATTATAGGAGTTGCACTCCTTTGGCTATTGAATGTGTTATCAAATGCCGCTATCTATAATTCGGTTTGCTAGCCCCCGTATATTTTCCTACTCACTATAAGGTAAGCAGCAATATCAATGATGTGAATATTGCATGACATAGGGAACAGTCGGGAATATACCGTCTGATGAGTTCTCACTGCACAGAATAAGATATTGTGATTGTCCGTGGTGAAGGCTGAGGTAATAATGATTGGATAGTTTTTTTTTTTTTTTACCAGAGGCCTACAAAGGCGTTCAAAGTGTCATATCTTTGCTTTTGCTACCTACTCGAATGAGCGTTCTTTTCATTGCATGTTTCATTCAACTTCTAGAAACTCATTTCGAAATGTTCAATCTTCTTCGGTCTACTAACGCAATCTAGCATTATTCTTGTCGTCATGGTGGCGTGAACAATGTACCGTGCACATCAAACCCAAAGAAGTTGGGGGCGTGTCGAGTATCACTTGCTTATCATCGCACCTACAGTTCGTTTTTTTTTTTTTGTTCGACCCTCACTATAAACGTCTCCTTTGAACACAATACGAGATTTGTTAATAATTATAATGACATATACATTTATGGCATGTATAGCATGTGTATGTATGACAAAAGCCAATTCAATCCGGTAATTTGATAGTGCTTTATGCCACCGTGTTTATGTTATCTACGAAAAAGTTTGTTGTTCCAATGTCACTCAATAATTCCGCTTTCACCCTGATATTGTACCAGTTTTTTGTGACCTGGTAACCTGACCTGAAACGGCTGAGGTTGCAAATGTTCAGAGAATGTGTCTAAAGGGTGCCGCATAAGGTATGCTAAATTTGGCGGCGCTATGCGCCGATGCTTTAACGCTGCAAAAAAAAAACGGGTTACATCACCCCCTGGCCTGGCGAGGGTCAAGATGGTGGTAGGTATGCGCTGTGCTTTTTTTCTAGCTTCAAGCAACACCTATTTCTGATTTGTTGGAAAAACGCGCAACTCCTTTCTTTCCTTCCTTCAAACTGCATCAACGTGATTGAATTTGAAAGCAAATAAACAGAGCAATCGATATTTTATTCGAATGGTGGAAACTCTAGAAGCAAACAACTGTAACTGGAATTTCTGAGGCATAACCAAACGGATTTGACGGATGAAACAGGTGCCCGATGCTCCGTTGTGAAAGGGCTGTTTACTGATCCCGGATAAGCCATTCACATTGGCAGATATCACGTGTGATGTGTCACGTTTCTATCCGGTTCACGTTCTTAAGCACGGATCATGATCGGTGCACTCCCAACAACTGCCGCCTGCACGTACACAACATCCCGCTTTTGCACGTCTAACAGTGCACTTTATTCGGTCAGGCCCATAAGGATGTAAGTGCAGAGGAGAGCGCACAGCCAGAAGACACGATGTGGACAGTGGACACAATGTGAGACGGGTTATGATCATCAAGAATGACCAGTGCCTGACGCATACGGACCAGTCCACTAAGGGAATCACGCTGACTAAGGGTAAGATGTGACGTTTAGGTAGTTACAACTCGAGCATAGGATACGTGGACGTTCTTTGTAGTGCAAGTCAAGCTAATGTGGCTAATATGAAGACAATGAATGTTGGAAAACTGTTCAGAAAATTATGATGATCCCGATATGAGCGCCCTGAAGAGAAAATGTCATACAAAATGGCCCAAGTGCATTAAAATTACACATCTGACATGAAGGACACTGACTAACGATTAGCTACACGGCTGAATCACATAAAACATGACGGCAAATAAAAACATTTGGAACGCTCTCAACATTTCCCAGTTATGTTTCACAAGGCCGAAATGAGACTTCATTTGTCATCGATGCGAGAGAGCAAAACGCTCGGTGTGTCTCCGAGTGATAATGAATTATCTGCACCACGACACGCTTTCAGCAATCCAACAGTGTGAGACCGAGAGATACAGCTCTGCTTTTCGAAAACCATTCACGATTCGAGTTGTGGACGCCACCTACTTAGTTGTAACAGCGTCATCAGCGGCAACAGCCGTCATCAGCGGCAAATGATGAACGTGGTGCTCACATTGAACGTACACAAATATTCTGATCCAGCACACTAACATTCAGGTCTGACCATTCCTTCACAGAAAAGTACCAGTCTCGCGATGCCGTATCATTGCGATGAAAGCGAGCTTTCCCTTCCATCTCTATGCCGTCCCTCGGAGCACAGAATCGCGAGACTTTGCGCTCCCCCGAAATAACACCCTGTTCAGGAGGCGGATCGAATGCCCTTCAAATCGCTCTCCGAGCGAAGCACACACCGCCGCCTGAGGGTGTCGAGGCGTCTTCAATAACCGTCTCAGCCCGATCTGCGACTGCGGACCTCTTGAGCACTCTCCCCTTGAGCTCAAGAGGTCTCGTTGTCTCGATCGGTTCCCCTCCAGTTGGGAACACACAACGAAAACACTGATACATCATAGTCTGAAAACGAACCTGGAGACATCACACAAGTCTCGTCGTCATCGCTTTGAATGTCTGCTTCGCCTCCTGGACAATCAACAAATTGGTATTATGAACATGATGTCACTGGCGTTTCCGAAACAACGGCAAGATATAAGCAACACATTTGAAAACACTAGGTAGGCCCAGCCAACTCAATAGCGCGCATCAAGTGATGATTTACACATACCACTTTTGAAGACATTGGACTGAGGTTCGGCGCTGAAATTAGCAAAACAAGCTCATATCTTCCGGCGACGCCAAACTCTGGGGTACTCTGACACACCTGGCTCAAGAAGTCTCCGCACAATCCGGGCAACACTTTCATTGACACATTTAGCGAGGTTAGCACATTCGCACGGCAATTTCCGGCGACTTCAGTCAGGATCCAATCCCGCACACAGCTGGTGGAAAACAGAATAACTGCTCACGGGAGAGGCTCCTGAGGTATTGCGGCGCGTAGCAGCACGTCGTAATACCCACGGGAGCACTGTCGTTCTGTCGCAGTCGCGTCCAAACTCCCCACCGACCAGCTTCAGCGTGAGAGCATGAGCACGCGCATCGGCACAACAGTGGAAATTTGGCCGCACTGGGTGGGCACCGGGCATTCATCTTTATCTGTTATCCTATCTGTTATCCTGATGATGTTATGTGAAAATGATTGTCCAACCATGAAAGTAGGGTAGCGTGTAGCGGCGCAATAGAAATGCACCAACCAGCATGCCAATGATAATGTTGGCCGTCAGCAGAGCTGCCATCTGTGGTGTACCTACATATTTAGCGGTATCCTATTATAGGAAGCCGATTAATTTCATTGACTACACAATCCTGTTTGTTTCCTTTATCAGGAACATAACATTTGCTCTTTGTCTCACACTTAGTAAAGTTGCTAGTAGCTGGGTTCGGAACGAACGAACCAAGCGACTTGCTTTGCAAGCAGCGCCACATTTCACTAAGCGTCTTAGCACCAGCCTAATTTGGATAGGTGTAAAAAGTCATCCAAATGGTCTACCAACCACAGTTTTGGCGGCGCCACTGACGCGTCACACTCCGGATACAGAGGTAGTACTGGTAGGTAGGTTGACACTGAGCGTTGTCATGGAAACGGGCGAGTAGTGCGAGCCTCTGCTTGCCACCAGAAGCCGGTGGTCCTCGCCATTCTCTGTCTCAGTGGCGTTGCTGCCACGGTACATCCTCTTCATGGGCACGGAGGACGCGTCCGCGGTGGGGCCCGCCATCGACATGTCCTCGGCACAGCCCAGTGTTCCGCAGCGTCTCCGCAGCAGACGCTCACAGAACAGACGCAGGAAGAGCCGCCGGAACTTCTGGCCGAAGATGCAGTAAATGACGAAGTTGGACGACGAGTTGATGTTGATGAGGAGGTTGCTGAAGTCGGCGATTCGTTCCATGCCTGCCTCCTCGATGATTTTGGAGTCGCTGTTCATGAGCTCGATGATGTTGATGACAAAGGAGAGGCTGTTGCACACCATGAAGAGCAGGACGATGGCGAACAGCATCGTGGCGAGGCCGATCTCCTTCTGCTGTCGCCGACTCAGCAGCTGCCGCATGCGGTTGGCAATCCGAACGTTCCTGTAGATCAGGCTGTTGAGGATCACCAGCGTGCCGAAGGGGATGCAGTACATGACTATGAAGTACATCCACATGATGTACACCTCGATGTAGGTGCGTTCGTTCCGCAGCGGCGTAGGACACGCGATATACCCCACGATAGTTCGGTTCTCGCGAATGTTGACGATGGGCTGCACCTCAGTCTCGAGAAACTTGGGTACATTGTACACTACGACGAATATGCTGATGAGGATCATGTAGAGCCTGGCTCGCCCGTAGGTGCAGATGTACCTGGCCTTGAGCGAGTGGCAGACGGCCACGTAGCGCTCGACGGTGACGGTGACAGTGACGTAGGTGCTGCCAGTGTGCGCGATGGTGGCCAGGGGGTAGAGCCAGGGCGTCATGTGCGGGATGATGCGGCTGGTGAGGCTGCGCATGCCGCCCGAGTACTGGCTGATGGCCGGCAGGCCCCACACGAAGATGGAGCACACCAGCAGCAGGATGTCGAACGTGGCCAGCCCGATCAGGCAGCAGTTGATGGAGGCGCGCATCTGCTTCCGCGACAGGATGTAGATCGAGATGGTGTTGCAGACGATACCCAGCATGTTCACCACGTTCAGGATGACGCCCTCGAGGATGAACTCGTAGAGGCTTGGATCGACAGCGCAGGGTGACTTCTCGCCACACATCTCGCATTCAAACTCGTCCGAGATGTTGGCTGCACTCAGCGACGCCATCGTGGTCAACTGTTCGTCCAGCATGGTGAGTTCACCGTATCTTTCAGCCAAATGCTAGAGCAGGTTCAAGACTTTGGCAAACCTATCGGTGCTCATATTTTCTGGCACCCGGTCACACTCTGTTGCTATCAATGAGCAGTGCTGAGATATGACGATCGATAGTGTTGATCTTGAATAATATGACCGACCGATGAAGCTCCTGCAGATGTTCGACAGTTCTGGTCCACGCAGCAGGCAACCATCAGATGAAATCGTCCAATGAACGTCACTCGTCAGCCGCCGAAGCAGACGGTCAGCAGCAGGATCTGTGAACAGAAATATCGGCTTCGTTAATAAACATGACACACTTGATTGGCGAGGCAGTTGGTGGAAGATTCTTCGGCCCATGTGGCGACACGACTGCTTATTTGTGAGTTGTGATTCAGATTTGGGTTCATGATTCAGGGACGATGATGCAATGCACGTATGGAATAAGACCGATGTATTATTGTGTAAAATGTATAATGAGCAGAGTAAAAACATTTAACTGCATGCAATCTTGAAAGTAGTGGACCTAGTGATTTCTTGTAAGGATTCTTCTGATGGATCTGACCCAACTTTAGCAATCTGTTTCAGAAGGCCGAGGCCTTCAGCCAAACAGACTAGCCGAAAGGCCAGTCATGAATTATAGCAGCTGTCATCTACCAATGTCAGACACTTCAATGAAACATGTTAGCCGTGCCATCAGCACAATTAAACGAGTTCCAGAAATTGTATTACTCCATGAAACCGATAGTGGGATTCGTTATTTTACTCCGTCTTTCTCTTTTTTCGTCTTTAATCTGTGACTTTTACTTTAGCGGCCCACTATCGGTTTCATGGATGGATTACTCCTTGAAACCGATAGTGGACCGCTTAAGTAAAAGTCACAGATTAAAGACGAAAAAAAAAGAGAAAGATGAAGTAAAATAACGAAGAAAGATTCGTATAATTAATATTCGTACATATAATCTCCCTCTCCCTCTCCCTCCCTTTCTCCCCCCTCTCTCTCTCTCTTTCTCTCTCTCTCTCTCTCTCTCTCTCTCTCTCTCTCTCTCTCTCTCTCTCTCTCTCTCTCTCCTCTCTCTCTCTCTCTCTCTCTCTCTCCCTCTCTCTCTCTCTCTCTCTCTCTCTCTCTCTCTCTCTCTCTCTCTCTCTCTCTCTCTCTCTCTCTCTCTCTCTCTCTCTCTCTCTCCCCAAAACATGCAGTAGCAGTCATCTGCAATGACGATAGTAGGCATGTACGAGTAGGTACTCGTTAGTGAACCCTTAACCGATTTTCTATGTAACTGATCAGCAATCGCCATTGCGATATGCTTAGCTTCCAGCCATACACGTCCGTATTTCGGGCAACTGGCTGAAGCATTGCACTTGGGGCATTCCACGATAGATCGTACCAGGCCCGTCACCCTCATCTCTCAGATTTGAATGAAAATTGGTACAAGGGGTAATCATAGGCTCCAAAAACACCTGCCAAAATATCAGACTTCTCAGATGAAAACTTTTTGACTTTTGAGTTACATTGCATAATATTTTCTAAACTTCAGATTGTAAGGGTTAGTTTGATGAGCTATAACACAAAAACGAGCTAAGCAAGCAACAAACGGTAAACAGCTTTGAACTAACGATGAATCAAAGATTAATACATTATTTTTAAAATTAGAAAGAAAAGCTTTACATCTTGAAAAAAACCGTAGTATTTTTTTAAATTGTCTATGGTGGCCCTTGGGACCAAAATTTTTGCCAGTTTTATTTCTTCAAAATAAACCTTAGGTCCTTTAAAATCGACATGCAAAAAATTAGAAAGGTGTTCTTTCTATGAGTTCCTCATTTAAATGCATACAAAATGGGTTTCCGGGGGGCTAGTACGACCCCAGCTCGCCGTTTCGCCTCTAATGGAGCTAGAACCTTGCGGAAAAAACGAGCATGTGCGCCGTTACAAGATGCATCGAATGATACCACATTTTAAGGTCTCGGGTTCATTGGTGACCCCTGAGGGCATTTTAAGCGACCCAAATTACGGGTCCGGTTTTTGATAGATAACTTCGCAAGAAATGGTCGCAGAGCCGCGATTTTAGCATCTTTGTGTTTGCTTAGCTCCGGCGCGTCGAATGGTATACTGTTTGTTGTGGTGAGGTCAGCTTAAGTCGCTGACCTCGGGTCAGCACACTGCCGTGTATTTGGCTCCGCTCCCCGACCAGGCGGCCCAGCCGGCAGCCAGCCCCCGGGCATCACGTGACCGCCCAGAGTCCGCGGCAAAGCCAACCAGCGCGGCGCTGGACAAACAGCGCCGCTACAGAGATGGTTAACAGTCGGTTCAGGCCACGAAGGTGAATGAATGAGATCATATTGCACATCATTCGATTCGCAAGGTCTTCCCGAGTCCATTGGTAGCTTTTCCGTCTCTCTAGCTCAATTTGATCGAGAGTTGTTGACGAAAAACTCTTATGACCCTAGTGACGTACGAATGACGTCACGCAAGGTCAACAATGCAAAAGTGAGGCAAAAATGACTTCAATTGAACTTTCAGTAACCAGTGATGTCACTAGGCAGCTTTACCACACCATTTGTAGGATCTCTTCCGAAATCACAATTCGAGACCATTACGGTGACGCAAAATAAGTACATTTATAGAAAGAACACCTTTCTAATTTTTTGCATACGACTTAGAAATGATCCAAAAATGTTTTTAAGTAAATAAAAATTCAAAAAAATTTGGTCCCAAAGGCATAAAAATGCAAATGAAAGGAAACTCGAGGCGTTATATATCAAAAATAGTATATATTTCAAAATTTTAAAAATGCATATTATTCTTTGTTTCCATGCAAGTTCAATGCCGTATAGTATTTGGCATTTGGATTATCCGTCTTAGAGTTACAGCCCGCCAAACTTGGGGCTGCAACGCAAGATCCAAAATATTTTATACACTATAACTCAAAAACCACTCATCTGCTTAGCCTGAAATTGCTACAGGAGGATTCAGAGCCCCTGATTACCCCTTAGACCAATTAACGTTAAAATCCGAGAGATGAGGGTGTCAAATTGGAAAAAAGTGGTACGATCTATCGTGGAATGCCCCACTTCCATTTAAACTGAGACCTTGAACTAAGCTGTGTCCAGCGACTAAGATCTTAGTCTAATGACCCTGTTAAACTGGCTTTTAACGAGAGACGTTTATCCCATAAGTGGAGGTCGTCGAGTACCAACTTACTGCAAGTTCCTTAAACAGAGCCTCTTAACGCTGGGCCATGGACAATATTTCACTATTTATTTGGAAATAACTTGAAACTAGAGTTGCCTGGTCCATTTCTTCTCGTCGTTGTGCAGCATTGGGTGTTTTCCTATTCTTATATCGATTTGCTTGTAATGAATTTTAGCTCAAACTTTTTTAAAAACAATACAAAAGCTACTGATCAGATTTGGACCCATTCAGAGCTTGATATTGCATTGAGGGCAAATTTATGTCCCATGAAAATCTACTCACTGGCATAGGTGAAAATCGTTACAGGGCGCTTCATCATTCCACGCTGCTACTGTCATAGCTTGACAATCGCACTAAATAGTAGGCTCCCTGTACAATTCACCTATTTCCTCCGCAAACTGCCTCCGCAAACTGCCAAACTGCCACGAATGTCCAGCAGCACGTATATAGGCCTCCAGCGGCTGTTCACCGTTCACAGCAGGGGGGCAGAGCGCCGCGGTCATCCTCATATCACAAACACGTCCCATTCGTGTTCGGTGGCCTCCAACAGCACGCCCTTCGATAGGCTCAAGTCGAGACGGCGGCCGCATCGATTGGTTAGTACACACCCTGTAATGATGTGCAAACGACGGGCCCAACAGGTGCGGCAGGGGCGTTTTGGCAGCGGCAGTGTGTCTGTGTTTGTACCGGAGCTGTCAGGAGGGGTCACACGTATTGGCTCGACCGGGACCGTAGGGCGTAGGTAGACGAGCTGTTTATCGGTTATGAAGAGAAACAAAAACAAGAGATATTGGATGTGAGAACAACAGACCGTGACTACTTCACCAAGTAAAATTTTCTTCACAAGTGCAGCTTTCGATTGCCCACCGAGTGGCACACCTAATGTCAGTAAATACGTCTATCATACAAGCTCCTTTTCAAGGTCAGTCAAATTATTAGAATTGCCGCTCTTGGATATATTTCATTTCCTTGACTATTCCGTGAAGTCACTCATTTATATTCCACGCTATCCTTCATATCATGCCACTGAATCTCTCACCGCAGTGCCCAGCTGCCTCATCTGATCCTTTCCTTCTGTCAATGGAGAAAGTCAGCAACATACAGCGAAGAGCCGGTTGTAACTGATATCGCAAAGCGTCACAACACGCTCTCCTGTACCTACTATAATCGACCACTGCCATTTAGGGCAGTTGTTATGGAAATCACCTACTCGGCAATAAATCGGATGGTGCACTTAACGTTATTTATCCACGAACATTTTTACCTATGCCAATGTCAAATGATGACAGGATTTACATATAGGCAGCAATGTGGGTGGAGACGAATATTTAACTTCAGAATAGCCTCCCTTTCCGCACTATTGCGCCCACCTCTACACGTTGAAATTGCCATCCTCTGGTGCGGCTGTGTGGCCAAAGGCATCTCGGTGTCTTTTTCCTTTAATTTGAACTCGTGAATTGAATGTGTCACGCTCCCCGGGATTCCCTCAGTTGGTGGCTGTCAACGTAGACAACCTCCAATGCCAGCAAACGACAAAAGAAAGCCACGCACACAATGGGGATCCGTGGTCCAGCTTTTGGGATGTGACAGCTGCTAATAGAAGGAACAGGCTATGAAGGCTTCTTCGCAGAGCCGCAAATGCCGAGATTGCTGCGAAGATTTTGGAAGTGGCTTGTTGTGTTGCTGTGTTTCACATCAGTTAAATATGTTGTCATCATTAAATACAAATGGCAATAAGACAATAACAAATGGGAAAATGAAAGATGTTCGGCATCACTGTTGAATTTTCATTGTTGTAATGAAATGATATGAATTTTACATTAAATAACATTTTCTCCATTTCCCAGCTCAGCTCGATCTTCTCAGGGCATGTGGAACTTCTCAGGGCATGGAATTGTAATTCGTTTTCCTTGAACAGTACTGCGATCTTGGCACTGCTTTCAACAGCCTGCGTCATAGATCAGGATACTCCACACCCCTTACCCTCAGGCTTTTTTGCGAATGTTTAAAAAACGGAGGAGCACACAGTGTATTGACTTTTTACATAGGTATCTAGCCATTTTTACCGTCATAGGGAACGATAAC